CTACAAATATGTCACAAATAAACCCTCAGCCTTTCCAGCAGGTCTCAAACTATAATAAAAAATACTTAAAACTTTTCAGTCCTGTTCAAAAATGTAATGTAATAATGGAGTATAAAGTCCAGATACCTGCTCTCAAATGTAGTGAAGTAAAAGTAAAAATGATGTGTTTTAAAATCTACATAAGTAAAGTCCAGATACTTCAAATTATACTAATGTTTTACCGCTATCAAACACAAAACTCCAACCAAACATGATAAATAAAATGATTTATGGCCGCACCTCCTTGAGAATATCTTATGTCATCAAATGTCAGAAACTATAGGGTGAGTCCCGAGGCGCCGCTCAAGTCGTTACGTGTTGTGGTTTTGTCCTTGGGCAAGACACTTCGCCCACGTTACCTCCAGAGTTCATGTACTTCGGTGTTTTTGAGCAATAAAACCAACTGTAATTGAATAAAAGTAAGTAAAAAGTAAAGTAGAGCTGTTTAATGTCACACTGTGGAACATTCCAGGCAGAGAAATGACATCCATAGATACAAAAAAAGTCAGAAAAGTTACACAATGCACCTTTAACATGTGTACAAAGTAATCAATGAATTATTAATTACAAAAAAAATGAAGAAATGCTGAATTTTTGGCTTTACTCATAATGTTTGAGTCAAAAAAATGATGGTTTCACAAGTCAAATGTGTCAAATGTTAATGCAGCCAGACATCGAAAAGCGATCATGTTTAGTAATTAAATGTATTGATTTATGAATAATTAGGAGTGTAAGGATATCCAAATCTCTCGGTACGATATTTATTTCGATATTATAAATTAAGATAAGACACGTTTGTGCTTTTAAAATAACTTGACAAGATTTCGCTGTGAATTATTTCCGTCATAATCCCAAGAATTCAAGTAAAAAACATATTTCTTCATGTTGTCTGCGCTGAAATGAATCATGGGAGATGTAGTTCCCGATGTTTATAAACTGTTGCTGCTATAAAACCATGAATTTAAGCAAAGGAACTTGTGATTCGATATATTGTGACAGCTCACGATATTATTGAGAGACTTTTGACGATACGATATCACGATATTTCGATTATTGTTACATCCCTATTAATATCATATTTATATCATAAACCAGGACTAAAACCAGGACAAAAAACCAGGACTAAACCAGGACTAAACTAGGACTAAACCAGGACTAAAAGCAGGACTAAAAGCAGGACTAAACCAGGACTAAACCAGGACTAAACTTGGACTAAACCAGGACTAAACTAGGACTAAACCAAGACTAAAACCAGGAATAAACCAGGTCTAAACCAGGACTAAAATCAGGAATAAAACCAGGACTAAACTTGGACTAAACTAGGACTAAACCAAGACTAAAACCAGGAATAAACCAGGTCTAAACCAGGACTAAAATCAGGAATAAAACCAGGACTACACTTGGACTAAACCAGGACTAAACTAGGATTAAAACCAGGACTAAACTAGGGCTAAACTAGAACTAAACCAGGACTACACTAGGACTAAATCCAGGACAAAAACTAGGACTAAAACCAGGACTAAACCTGGACTAAAACCAGGACTAAACCAGGTCTAAACCAGGACTAAACTAGGACTAAAACCAGGACTAAACTAGGACTAAACCAGGGCTAAACTTGGACTAAAACCAGGACTAAACTTGGACTAAACCAGGACTAAAACTAGGACTAAACTAGGACTAAAACTAGGACTAAACTAGGACTAAACCATGACTAAAACCAGGACTAAAACTAGGACTAAACTAGGACCAAACTAGGACTAAAACTAGGACTAAACCATGACTAAAACCAGGACTAAACCAGGTCTAAACTAGGACTAAAACTAGGTCTAAACCAGAACTAAATTAGGACTAAATCCAGGACTAAAGCAGGTCTAAAACCAGGACTAAACTAGGACTAAACTTGAACTAAACCAGGACTAAAACCAGGACTAAACTAGGACTAAACCAGGACTAAAACCAGGACTAAACTTGGACTAAACCAGGACTAAAACCAGTTTGTCTAAGTCTGTATAATTATGCCTTATTTAACACCAGTCTCTTGCACTTTTTTGCTACTTACTTAGAATTTATTTATTTATTTTTACTGTTTTTATTGTATTTATTGTGATTTTTGAGCTTCTGTGTCCAAGTAATTCCCCTTGTGGCTCAATAAAGTTTGTCTAAGTGTAAGTTTAAGTCTGGATGTGGTGTTTTTTGAGAGGCTGAAGTTGCAGACTGACAGACTCACTTCAGTGTGGAGTGAATGAATCGACCTAACGCATGAAATTGTAAAGCAATTTGACCATCTGGAAAAGTGCGAAACAGACTAGGGTGACCAGAATTTCAAAATCAAAAACCCCAAATCCCTGGTTTGGGTTGGTTGGTAATAATAACATTGTGAAACGAGTGCCGTAATTAAGGAAAATTGTTCTAGTGTGATCACATTTTCTTTGTGTTTTGGTCCATTTTAAGAAACGTTTCTGTATTTTAACTAAACAAATGACAATGTATGTTTCTCTTTACTGATGGGACTAAACCAGGTCTAAACCAGGACTAAAACCAGGACTAAACTAGGACTAAACCAGGATTAAAACCAGGGCTAAACCAGGACTAAAACCAGGACTAAAACAGGACTAAACCAGGACTAAACTAGGACTAAACCATTAATAAAACCAGGACTGAAACTAGGACTAAACCAGGACTAAACTAGGACTAAACCAGGACTAAATCAGGTCTAAAACCAGGACTAAATCAGGTCTAAAACAAGGACTAAAACCATGACTAAACTAGGACTAAAACCAGGACTAAACCAGGTCAAAACTAGAACTAAACCAGGACTAAACCAAGTCTAAACTAGGACTAAACCAATACTAAACCAGGACTAAACCAGGACTAAACTAGGACTAAACCAGGACTAAAACCAGGACTAAAACCAGGACTAAACCAGGACTAAAACAGGACTAAACCAGGACTAAAACCACGTCTAAACCAGGTCTAAAACCAGGTCTAAACCAGGACTAAACCAGGTCTAAACCAGGACGAAAACCAGGACTAGACCAAGACTAAACCAGGTCTAAAACAGGACTAAAACCATGACCAAAACCAGGACTAGACCAAGACTAAACCAGGTCTAAACCAGGTCTAAATGCAGGACTAAAACCAGGACTCAAAGTAGGACTAAAAAGGACTAAACTAAGTAAAACCAGGTCTGAACAATAAGACATCTAACAGTAGGATGGACATAATTTAAAGCAGCAGTGATCTCATATAGAAATAATGTCTCTATCAATAATATTTTTAATACACTTAAGGAAAAAATTGACTTTTTATTTTCTTTTAGTACATAAAACATCTTATGTTAAAATATCTTCAACTTTGCTTCTCTACAGTAAAACAAAAGTCTGTTCATGGAGACTTGGGCTCAACAGACAATTTGAAGAAAACAAACAAGAATTTTCAGGATGTGGTTGGTCCATTCATGTTGTTTTAAAAAAGCAAGAAGATGTCAAGTAACCCAGATTACGTTACTCACTTTAAGTAATTTAATGGATTACGTTAAAAAAATACATTTTGAGGTATGTAATCTGTAATCTGTAGGGGAATACATTTTAAAAGTAACCTTCCCAACACTGATTGTGATGTGTGAGATACTGTGCTCAACATAATGTCCTTTGTGGTCACGGTAACGTCTGGTCACACAAAAATAGTCTAATGCATTATCAGTGTTGGGGAGTAACAGGTATGACATGTATCGGCGTTATGTAATCAGAGTACAATTTATGAGTAACTGTATTCAGTTACAGTTACTGTTTCAGTGAATGGTAATTGGATTACAGTTACTTTGCTGAAATAAATGGATTACACAGAGGTATTTTCCTGTTTTCACATTTTGGGCTAAACCAGGACTAAAACCAGGTCTAATAACAGGACTAAACCGGATCTAAAACCAGTTCTAAACCAGGTCTAAACCAGGTCTAAACTAGGTCTAAACCAGGACTAAAACCAGATCTAAACCAGGACTAAAAACAGGACTAAACCATGTCTACAACCAGGTCTAAACTAGGTCAAACCAGGTCTAAATCAGGTCTAAACTAGGTCTAAACTAGTCAAAACCAGGACTAAAACCAAGTCTAAACCAGGTCTAAACCAGGTCTAAACCAGGTCTAAACTAGGTCAAAACCAGGACTAAAACAAAGTCTAAACCAAGTCTAAACCAGGTCTAAACCAGGACTAAACCAAGACTAAACCAGGTCCAACCCATGTCTAAACCAGGACTAAACCAGGACTAAACCAAGGTATAAAACAGAATTTAACAGGACTAAATCATGCTGCATGGACCATGTCTCCTCTTCTTCTATCAATAATATTTTTAATCTGGTTCAGTAAAGTCTGGACTTTTTTATTTTCTTTTATCAGACAAAACACCTCACGTGAAGATTTCCTCGTCTTTGCTTCTCTACAGCAAATAAAGTAATCCAAAGTATTCAGATTACATTACTCACCTTAAAATAACTTTATGAATTCTGTTACAAACTACATTTTGGGATGTATAATCTGTAATCTGTAATCTGTAGGGGAATACATTTTAAAAGTGACCTTCCCAACACTGTGCATTATTATTATTTATTATTTTCTCACTTTTGTCGCCGTGTGTGTGTTTGTGTCATTCATTTATCTTAATAGTTTACCACTAACACAATTAACCAAACTAACCGAGCATGTGGCTGGTCTTTGTGCGCCGATTCCCCTCGGACTATCAACATCTGGTATTTCCAATAAATCAAAATCAGTAAAAAAAAAAAAAAAAAAAAAAAAAAATAGAGTCCCTTTTCTCCTCCTTCCTTCCCTAACCTGACGTCCTCGCGTGTCCCCTCCCCTCGCGCTCGCGGTCCGGGGGCTGTCCATGGGGCTGTCCCGTGTCCTCCCGTGGTCCGTGTTCCCTTGCGTCCTCCTGTTGAAACCCACGCACGCAGAAGACGCACGCACGAGCTCTCCACACCGCAGAGAGCACACGCGCGCGCGCACGCAGACCCGAGCACGAGCCCCCGGGAGCACAGAGAGAGAGAGAGAGAGAAAAGAGAGAAAGAGAGAACAGCGCGAGGACTGGTCCGGAGCGGCTTCCTTCAAACACGGAGACCAGACCCGAGCACGGACCGGAGCGAGCACGGACGCCGCCGACGGAGCACCGACGAGCGGACTGAATCGGAGCGGTCCCGGGGCAACGCGACAACACGAGCCATGGCGCAGCGACGGTCCACGCACACTGGGAATACGCGTGCGAGCCTCCTGGGACTTTTCGCATCACTTTTTTACTTATTTGCACGTAAGTTACCGCGGCACGTCCTCGAGAAGTGGCGTGGCGTGACGGGACCGTTACTTCTAAAAAAACAACGGTTATTTGAAGTTTGTTATTTGAATTTTCCGCGGGAACCGTTAAAGCAGTTAAAACGGTTAATAAACTTACTCGCTTTTTTTTTTTTTGGTAGGTTAACCTTTAATTTTCGCATCGTTTTGTTCCGTGAAGGTTACCAGCATACCTCAAGCTCCCAACACAGCGTTAACTTATTCAACTACAGCGCGGCGAAGACAAGCTAAAGCCCCATTCTGGTTAGTTTGATCTCGAATTACCGAAGCAACGTGGAAGTTCGGGACCAGCGGCGGCGTCAGCGTCAGCGGGGGGATTCCGTGAATAGAAGCGGCGATTGTTGCCCCCATTGTCGGGCCAGAGCTCCGGGAGTCTGTCACACATGACTTAGCGGTCTCTCGCGTTACTCATGCGGTAAAAAAGCGAGGTCCGGGGCGGGCAGCAAGTGGAATGGTGCAGTGGCGAACGGATAAACCCCGTGTTTGCTTCATTTAAGAAAAGAATCTGGATTATTTAGATGTATTTATAGCGGGTATCTTGGCAGTTTTGCATCAAGTCTTTCTGCATACGTTTTTCTGGCATCCCGTCAACTTTCTTGCGTGTTGTCAAACGTGTTTCAGAGCCGTGGGAATTGACTCAGCAGAATCCGTAATAGACTTTTATTAATGGATTGGATACTCGCTGTATGCATTCCCTTGCTGAATCGTTACTGCATTGCTAACTATCTGGCAATTACAGCGTTGTAGCAGTTTACGGAGACTTTGAATGGCATTGTTTTGTTGCAGCGACATGGGAAAATCACGATTTGCCCCTTTTTCCAGTGTCGTCAAAACCATTTGTAGTGATGTGGTTTTTGGAGTTAGTCTTTGGAATAATACAATGATGCTATCGCCCATTTGTTGTCGGATTGTTTGAAAGATTGATGAAGTCAACAGGATACAGAAAAGGATGTGGTATCTATCATAAACTGGCCTTGGATTTTATGCTTAGTGGATACACTATAAAAAGTTACTAGGCTCTTCCAGCACAAACAAATGACAAAAATCACGAGTCTGCTCAAAGAAATACAAAGTCGTTTATGGAATTTGTTTTGTTCAGTGCAGGAAAACGTTCAGATACTTGCAGTGTTTTGTTTAAAGGCACAGTATGTAACTTTCTAGGGCCATGACACCTGCGTGATTCCATGGAAACAGGAAATTAAACCCGTACTTGGAAGAGAGAAGCGTTTGGTGCCATACTGTGGAGTATCGCGGCCAAAAGGAACAACATTTCCATGGAAACAAGCGAGCAAGGCCAAATAAGAATAGTTTGTGGAGATGCAAGCCCACTCAGAGTAGGGTTGCATGTTTTTCCACGTTTTTCCGCGCACCAAAAGCAAACATACTTTTATTTTAGGCTTTTTGGTTTGTTACGCACTGTGTCTTGAAGAAGAAAACAGTAACTTTAACTTTCATTCATGGGTTTCGACTTCATGTTTATAGACGACATTTTGAAGGCACATTCAAAAGACAGATTATGTTTGTAGAAGTACTGTGCCAGTTAGTCATTTTTTTTTTAGTTTTAAATCACAATGAAGCCCATGCAGATCACACTGTGGGTTTGTTATGATTGCAGAAGCACATGGTCAGATTTTATTTTATCTCTTACTATCAGATTTACTCCAGGCTCTACTCTAGGACTGTAGACCTTTAGTTGTTTAGTTGATTAAAAAAAGTATGATGTTCTTTTCCGGTGTACATTTTTGTCCACAGGTGTAACTATTTCAGTTTGTGCAAAAACAAAAACAATGCAAAAATCAATGTTGGCACTGTTTTATGACATCGCCAACACAAACTAATTAAAAAGATCTGAAAAATATAGAAATAATAAATTTTTTTCATGCACATGCTGTCAAAAATGGCATTTAAAGGGTTAAAATTTCAAAATATGATATAATATTTGGTATGTATGATTAGAGCAGAAGTAAATAAAGGCAATGACATAAAAAAGTTGGGCAAAAATCTGTACTGCATAAAAATATTGTGTTATTCTTTTTCCATGTCCCAAAGGACCACAGATGTAACTATTTTTAAAGGGGTGCACAAGGGTTAATTGACGTAAAAAACAACCAAAACTGGTATTAGTCGACAAATCCTTTAGATTATTAGGGTTTTTATGGGACAACAGCAGAAAGGAGAAGTGAAGTGAGCTCGCTGAAGGTTTGGTATTGTTTAGTATTTATTAGGGGCGTAACGATATCCAAGTCTCACGATGCGATATGAATCTCACGGTACGATATTTATTGCGATGTTGTTGGAAAGCTCACGATATGGTCATGATTAGGGATGTAACGATATCCATATCTCTCAGTACGATATTTTGTGGACGAAACTGTTAATATGTGACTTTTTCATCTTAAAATACCTTGACAAGACTTCAATCCAAAGAACTAAGACTTAAAAGTGCTTAAAACTTATTTCTTCATGTAGTCTGCACTGAAATGGAGCAAAGGCTCATGGTTTATGTAGTTTTTTGTAGCTGTTGATGCACCCTAACTCTTAATTTAAGCAACGAGACTTGTAATTCGACTTGCAATTGTAATATTATTGTGAGAACTTTGACGATACGAAATCACAATACTTCGGTTATTGTTACATCTCTAGTATTTATATGTTAAAAGGCAGATTAAACTCATGATTCACAAGTTGAATCATGAGTCTTTATGTAAGTACATTGTTTCCTAGTACTTTTTTTGTCGTTTTTGCATGAACTCAACTTGCAAGTGTGGTTTTTTGAGTGCAGTTTGGGTCAGATACATATGCAATAGTTTTGAGAGCTTTTCCCACACCCCTTTTTTACTCAACTTAACTTGTGTGTGTCCTCTGTCTGCAGGTTAAGGCTCTGGAAATCTAGGTCCAGTTGTGATTGTCGTAGCTTTTTTCAAAATTACAAGGAACGTAAGAGCAGCTGCGTACCGTTCCTCTAATAGCTGTGCGTTAAAAACATGTTGTAAGTAGTTTCTTAGGTGCTTGTACACGGGCTTCTTGAATGAGTGAGGAGCGGCAGCAGCAGCAGCAGCCTCCTCCTCGGCTGTGGGCGTGAGAGTGGCAGGGGAAATGAAGACATATTTCAGGACGAGAGGCTCCGCAGTCGCCGGGTCTGTGGAAGTATTGACCCGCAGCTGGGCCCCGTGCCAGACCCCCCGAGCACCTACCAGGCTCCCCCGTCCCGTCTCCTACCTCCAGACTCCCCCCCCCCCATCCCGTCTATCCCACCCCACCCCACCCCGGGAACGCGCGTGCACGTGTCCCCGACCGGAGCCAAGATTACATTTCAGGACGGGGCTGTTATGACAAACGCGAGTGCTGCTGGGGGCCGAAGCGAACGCGGCGCAGGAAGGTGCATTTGTTTTCCACCTTTATGCAAAGAGCGGAGGCAGTGGAGATACCAATGGCTTTATTACCACCATAGAGTACAATGAAAGAAACCCCCATGTGTTAGGGCACTTCAGAGACTCATTCACTTTCCACTTTACCTATTTTGGTTTTATAATGTCACAGCTTTTATTACTAGTACACCGCAAATGCAAATCAAAAACACAAATATAGCCGTGCAGTCAGCTTTCTATGTATAAATGCAAATATATGAAGTATACTTAACGTTTTGCCAAAAATAATCTCCACAAACCTCTTATTTGAATCTTATTTGTCCTGGAGGAGGGCCTCTTCCTGCTCGTTTCCATGGGAATGTTGCTCCTTTGGCTATAATCTTCTACAGAATGGCAATAAATCTATCCATCCCCACAGAGAATGTTGTGAAAACTTTAACTTTACATTTTCAAGGAATAATTCAGTTGACCTAGTCTGATTCATCAGCCGGTTTCACTTCGTAGAAACCGTCTGACCTCGCACTGTTAGATTTCGTTCACTCGGCGGTAGGCAGGTACTTTTGATCATTTAACCAATCGCTGCTATTTGGTCGTGACGTATGTAATGCGCCGCTAATGGAGTTAACTGGTATAATAAACTTTTCCCAAATCACATAGGAAGAAAGACAATAACGTCTTCCTCCTTGATAAAATTCACCAAACATTCTCTTTGTTCCGGCTTTAAATCCTCAATCTCGGGAATCATTGACAACACTGTTTGCTGATTGGCTGGTGTCTGAACTCGCACTTCCGGGGGTTAGTGTATTCTGTATCATTGTATTCTGATTCCTGACCTAGTCGCTGGAGAGAAATGAAACTGAACGGAGGCACTATGTGGCACTAGCCTGGCTAATAAATCTATCCATCCTCACACAGAATGTTCTGAAGGTTTTAACTTTACATTTTCAAGGAATAGTGCAGTTAATTTACCACCTCCAAAAAGTTGCACACTGTCACTTGAAATATATCCCACTTTTAAAGAGAGACATAATGCACCTTTATACCTCAACATAAATTGTTTGTCAAATCATATCAACTTAAGGTTTGGTTCTGAAAAAACGTCTGACCTCGCAGCATTAGGATTTGTTCGCTCAACGGCAGGCGGGTATTTTTTATTATTTAGTATTTAACCAATCACTGCTGTTTGGTCATGACGTACGTAATGCGCCAAATCCCGTAGGAATAAGGGCAATAACGTCTTTCCCCTTGATAAAATTCACCAAACATTCTCTTTGTTTCGGCTTTAAATCCTCGATCTCAGGAATCGTTGCCAACACAGCATGTATGTCTTCGTCTACAGCCATCTCAACTGCTTTGTTTACTGTTCTGCTGTCAATCAATCAGTCAACAACTTTATTAATCCCAAAGGGCAATTCAGTTTGCACATCTCTGGTCGTGCACAATCTGTAAATAATAAAAGAAAAAGAAAGACAGACAGGCATCGTACATTCAAACCACAGTGCATCAGGGACACAGTAGCAAATTCACTTTCAGTTTAAAAGCTTTATGGCAGAAGGAATGAAAGTTTTGGCGTAGCGGTTAGTCTTTTGCT